TGCAATACCTAAATTATTATTCTTTTTTATTGCATAAGCTATCATGGATAGAGAGGATGGAGGGAAGAAGCTAAAAGGTCACACACTTTGATTTCCTGGAAGTAGGAAGATCCCAGAAACAGAACCTAGGTGAAACAGGAGTTCCTGCCAACTGAATGCTACCCCACTCCAGATTGTCAAAGGAATCACCAGAAAAGCATTGCCACTGGGTTTTGGTTCATTCAATTTGCAGAGATACTTGGTTTGGGTTTCCAGAATGGAAGGAAATGTCATGGTACCATAGGCACATAGATAGGCTGCAACCATCTCAGGTTGACACATTCCTTGGGTGTGGATTGGAAAGACAATGTCCTTCTGGAGGCATTGGATATTGGTGATCTGCCCAATGGTTAAAGTTGTATCTCCTTTTACATTCAGCCTATATACCTGTAAATAAATGCAAATAGTATGAACTGCCAATAATGCTCCTTTCAAAGAAATCTAATCCTGCATTTGTGCTGCCTCCCTAAAACTGTATGGAGAAATAGGGTATATGTAGTACATAGGCTGGATTCATACAATATGGGCTAAAACGTGGTGGGTAGCTTAGAATTCTTAGTTGTGGGAACTAGCCATTGTAGTTAACCCATGATACAGTTAATTTATTTGGGCATGTGCCATATGAACAAAGAATTATTCTGTTTTGTTAACCCAACACTAGTGTGAACCCAACCTATACTCTGGACAACCTATACAATAATTGTATTCTGGAGGAATAACAACCAAAGTTAAAACTAAAAGATGTACAGATGCAGATCTCTTCTGTTTTGCCCAAATATTTCCTCCCCACACACACATTTTAGAATTTCAGGGATTAGTCTGACCTTGGAGGTGTTAAGACTGTCCATATTATTCAAAAGCCACTGATGGGATTAAAAATTTTTATCACTAATAGAAAGGATTATTGCTAATGTAATAGCTTTGTGACAACTGAGCTGGATCTCTCTGAATTACAAGATTATAAACCTACCGTTAGCCATTTTCTCTAGCAGGTTTTTAGAAGCAACATGATCCTGATGTGTACTCTCCAAAGGCAAGCTCTTATTTTATTGTTGAGGTAAAAGGTTTGGGTATTAATCTTTGCGAGGCTTTACTATTCAGCCTTCAGGCAGAATGGATAAATGAGTTTTTAATGTGTTAATTGAAATATGTTATTCCATTAATTTAGAGATGGCTCTAAAGCTTTTTTAATGCCTGCATCTGTGCTGAGAGGATTTCCATAGTGGACTCAGTAAGAGAGCTGGTTTGACCTTTGGAATGCTTTTGCTGGCTGGAAGCTACTATTGTCAACCTCTGAGAAATAAGAGGGGAGAAAGGGCTTCTGCCTTTCCCCCAAACATAGAGGCATTCTTTTCGTTTAGGGATTTGGGTGGTGAGGTGGTGGTGGTGAAATCAGTCTGAATAAGGCAAGTACAAACTATGATGCTGCATACCAAGTATCTTCAATTGTTGAGAATTTAATGGAATTTAATGGAATCACATTACTGGCCATCTTGTAATACTTTTAAACAATACTTTAATTGAGGCTTTTAAAAAATCAATTCTACTTTTTGGGATTACTCTCAGAAGTAAAGAAACCCACAATCAAGAAATTTGCCCTAGAGTAGTGGTTGGTAGAGTAGCACTGAAGGCTTTGGAAAAGACATTCAGATGCCACAATGCGTCTCGATCTACAAAGACTAGAATCACTTAGGCAACAGTTTTCCTTGTGACGCTATACAGAAGCCAAAGTTGGACTTCGAAGAAGCAGGATATAGTGGGTATTAATGTTTTTGAACTGTGGTGTTGTAGAAGACAACTGAGAATCCCCAGATAGCAAAGAAAACCAGCAAATTCTAGAACAATCAACCCAGAGTTCTCACTTAAACCACAAATAAGTAATCTCAAAAGTTCATACTATGGATATATTGTGCAAAGAGTTTGCTCTCATGAAAAGTCCACAATGCTGAGAAAGGTGGAAGAGAAGAAAAGGATTACCAGCAGGCAAGGATGGACTCAAGTACAGCAGCAATTGGTGCACCACTGAAAGACCAGATTGGAGACAGGCCATCCTGGAGAAACATCTATCTGCTTGGTTGCTAAGGGTAGACTCTAAGCGGCATATAATCATCAGTCACCTCCTAAACCAAATGCTGAAATAAAAAATGTTACAAGCTAGCAAAAAATAATTGTAGAAGTTCCAAATCACTGTTATCATCATCACCAAGTTTGTGTAATGATGTATGAACACATGAACTTTTGTTGGAACCTGTTCCTGAAACCCTCTGTTAAAACTGCAGTTTTATTGAAGACGCTTAGTGTGACTGTGTCCACACAACTGTGAGTTCCTAGACATAAATTTGGGTCAAAGTGCATGCTAAATCCTGAAAACTTCAGCATTGATCTATTGGAAGTCTGTCTGGCAGGCAAAATCATAAAGACAGATTTCATCAGTGATATACTAAGCAATCAATAAGCAATGGCTCCATAGTGCAGAAATAAAAAATGGCCCCAAGGAATATAGCAATTACCCAGCTCACTAGGAACAATTTAGTGAAGCAAGTGTGTTAGTTTGGGAAGCATTAAGATTCAGAGGAAACTGATGTTTTTTTTTTAAAATAGTGCATGTTCTGCACTACTTTCTGCACTAGAAGGTACTGTTTTACGTTCTCCTCCCCATGTGCTGACTCTTTAGCCTATGATGTGAATGCAGCATATGAGCACATTATTCAACAATGGGATATTGTCTGCTGAGGTCTGTTGTTGCTGTTTGCCTAGTGGCCAAGAGGATGCTTTGGCTAGGTAGACTTCCTTAGTCTTTGTTCCTTCCTTATCAGTGCAAAGCACAAATGGGCACAATGATTCTTCTGTAACATCTTTCAAAGGCAGCTATCTCTTGGGTAAACAGTGCTTTTGGTCTGGGAAAGTTCAGTTCATTGCATGAGTATTTTTGCTCTTACAGGATCATATGCTCTATACAAAACAAATTGTTTTGCAATTCAATTTTATGTACATCTAAGCCCAAATTGCCATGTTCTATTTAGCCCGGACCATTGTTTCTTTAAGCCTACCTATTACCTTCCCATGTTTGTGTACAGTTTGGTACAGCAAATGGCTACCTAAGACAAGAAGAAAATTCAATGAATGCTCTAAAGGGGAACACTGGAGGGAGGTTGGGAGAAGTAAACTGCTATTGAAAATAAGTCTGTTTGCTTTAACAACCATAAATGATGTATAGGTTATTTCATCTCCGGGCCTGACAATTCCAGAAGACCATAAGATGGCAGCAAAGAGTTTTGCCATATCTCTCTCCTGACATCTAGTGGTTGCTAGATTCATATTACAGCTATGTATGATAGAATCTTTACCAGAAAAATGAGATGGCAGAACACAATACCAATCATGTAATCAGCACTGGTTGAACACATGCTTCTTTATGTGGGGAGTGTTAGTATAATAGAGTTGCCTTACCAATTAAGTTTCTGATCTACTGGTAGTAGTTCTCACAGACCTGAAGCAGAAGTCATTCCAAGTACAGAAATTCATAAAGAAGTTGTGATCTGAACCATTAGCATGCCATGCACATTGAATGAATATGTGTTCTGTCACACAGAACTAGGTTTGTTCCACATGTGGAACATAACAGATTCATACAACATTCTAAACCTAAACTAAGTATTGTAATCTACCTGGTATTGTTGCATGAGATGTAAATCCATTGTATCCAAATATATATCTACTGTAGTAAACTTCATTTTAGTTTTAATAGATGGTGAATTTTGACTGCTTTACAAAATTTTACCACCAATTTAGGAAATTAGCCAAACCAAACCTGCAATCTTTTTAATAGGCTGTTTATAAAAAACACCAACAAACATTATAGGTTGCAATTACAAGCTACATTATGAACTGATGTCTAGTGAAATATCTCTGAAAATATGTGACCAAGCCTTACATCCCTTATTAAGTTAGGCTTTTGATAATACTGAACATATTCAATTTGTAACTAACCATTTTGGACATGAAAATGCAGAAGATCCCAGGGTGCCTATTAGCAAAATAAGATTTATTTTCACATATTTCTATATTAGAAGGTACAAACTACCTAACAGAGAAATCCAATCCAACTTCTTTATGGGATTTTTATTGTTGCCTGACATAGGTAAGCATTCCAGCAAATTTAGAACACTTTTGCTTGACCTGCCAGGCACAAAATAGGAGATAAGATCATGCTGGACTATAAGCAACTAGTAATTTTGCTTTGTTGAGCTATCCGTGATCTCATCCTATTGCTCAGTAGAGGCAATACCCCTTTCTCAGATACAGCCACAAATTTAATCTGCACTTTCTCTTAAATCAGGGTTCCCCAAAATTAGTGGGAACTTTAAATCCCAGAATTCTCCAGTCAGCATGGCTGGCTGGGAAATTCTGGAAGTTGAACTCCACGTCTTAAATTTGGCAAGATTGGGAATCTCTGCCTTAAGACTTGTTTTAGGATGTGCAATTTTTAAGAGATTTGCATTTGGAATGGTTTGCTTCTAAATTCTGAGCCCCAGACACACCGTTCATTTTGCTAAGTCAAGCTTGCAGCTCTTTTCAACATTTGTGAGGCAGAAGTCTTGACTGAAGTGTCAAAAATGGAAAGTTAATCCACTGGTTTTCTTTTAAAATGAAAATTAAGTAATTCTGTGCAGCCTATTAGATCAATTGACTTGTTTTCCCTGCTTTGACCTCATCAACAATTCAGAACAGGTTGTATGCACAATTGACCTCAGAAAAAGACATTTATCTTTGAAGTTCATTCTTCAATTTTTATGGAATATTGTTTTCTGATGGCACAAATGAAAGAGCAAGTAGCAAATAAAACAAAGGTTTTTGAAATGCGGGTATAAATAACATAAATCTGGAAAGGCTTAACATTGCTATGATTTAGCAGACTCTTAAAGACAGTAACCACTATTGAGCAAGCAAGAAGGTCAAACTAAGTGGGTAAAGACTGTTTATTTTTTGCTTGCTTGTAGGATCATATGACAGATTATGGAATTGGAGATAATGTGCTAACGTAAGTTCACAGATCATGCTACACATCTTGGTTTGTTTAACCATCACTTACTAAATAAACCATAGCGGTTGGCTTTCTGAGCCAAAACCCATGGTTTATAAAGCAGTGGCTGGATTTATACAATATGCTAAACCAAAACAAGGGCAACTACATTACTGGCTTAGCGTGATGTACAAATCTAGCTACTCTCTTCTTCAGCAGACTAGAAAGTTCAGCCAAGAGAGAAATGGATCTTTGCAGTTAGCACCAAACATTTACTGCTATTAAAAAGTAACCCCTGATGCCCTCAGCCGTAACAGCTCTGTAATTCCAATAAATATATATGGTCCTTTGGGTACCAGACAAAGTGCTGAAGGGGAGTATCCTTTTCTTCCACTGTAATATAGAGACAAATTGCATTTAGACTGCACACAGACAACAGGTACAAGCAGGAGAGTTGGTGAGACAAAATATCATGACACTACTTGAAATGTGGGTGGAGCCTTCCTTTAGCCCAATAGTTTACACAGGAAAATCTTATATGTGTTTTCTTTTCCTACCCATACAAGCAGAGTATTATAAAAAGCTACTTAGTACCAGTAATTATCAGTGTGGTGCTTTATTCATCCGGGGGCCAGCTTTCTCTTCTAAATAGATATGTTCACTGTCTTAACCAAGCAGGGAAAATAGGAGTTGGACATAATAAGAGGAAAGCTGTTTCCACTCTTTGGTTCCGAATCATTTTCTGGTTAGTGTGAGAAAATTTAAATAATGTAGAACTAATTTTATTTGGAGTCAGTATTCTTGATACATTACGATTACAAATACTAGGTAGGGATGACTACGTATTACCTCCAGGTTAGAGTTAACGGTACAGGAATCAACATCAGAACAAGATTAATCACATGGGAGATAGGAGGAAGTATTGTTTTCTGTATACTGATATCATAACCAAGGTTATGAGGTGGAAAAATGACCAACTTCCTTTTGTTTATTGACTGCTAGTGATAACAAGTGATGCTTGAACCAAGAGGCTCTAGGAGAGAACAGTAATGAGCTCCATTTTTTAAGATCACATGCTGTTCTACTGGGTCATTTTACTTAAATACTTTCCACATTATATATGTTGGTGTCTAAAACTTTCTGCCACACAGCCTGATGAATTTCTCTGTGCAGGATAAAATTCACCACTGGGAAGATCATGCTCATCTTAAGGAGTAAAGGAATGTTTTGTTTCTTAAAGTAGTTTTTGTGATCTCTTTGGTGGATCGAGCTTACTGGGAAGACATGAAGAGGGCGTACTCCAACAATAGTAAGGGTGTATATGGCTATTTAAATTTTGCTAAATCAAAATTTTCATGCAAGGAAACCGTATGTATATTTTCCTAAAAAAATAGTTAGAAATGACAGTCCTGCCTAAGTACTAAGTTTTTCTAGCAAATATTGAAAGTTAGAGCTGGGATTAAAAGTGTGGACACCCACACATGCAAATTCATACTTGCACACATATGCATCATGAAACATCTATAGGCTGTTTACATTCTCACTTTAGTTCAAGCTTTCATTCTGCCTTCATTCAGTAATATTCAACCAAAATTGGAGGCTGAACTGCTGTTTAGGAACATAAAGCCCCTAGATCAATCCCTGGTATGTCTAGTTTATGGAGCTGAGATACCAGGGCAAGGAAAATCTTTTCTCTTGTGATTTAAAAAAAAACCCCCGAGGCCAGGCAAAATAGAGAATACTTAATAGCCAAGCGGGCCTAATTTCAGACAGGTAGCTTCCATCAAAAAGGATAACACATATTCTGAATGTGATAGAATTGGTACTGATGCATCCAGTGTAAATATTTGTGCAAAGGTTATTACATTGAGATTAAGCTGTGCTCCTGTATTATATATTTCTGTATTTTAATTTTATCTTAATTTATATCTATGGCATTCAGGCTATAAAACATTCTCCATATATATGAGAATTAGGTACCCAGGAAGTTCTCCTACTCCTGAATTCCTTCTGAATGAGATGTATTACAACAAATTAAGTCATAACATGAAAAAATATGTAACCTATAACATTCTAATGCAAAGTTCTTCTTCCTTCCTTCCAAAACCTAGTCTTTAATCTGTTCTTATCTTGCTTTTAAGTAACTTCTAATCTTCTAGGAAATTAGCCTACTGCAAGGTCCAATGGAGAGGAAGTCCTGAACATGAAAATTCCCAAGATTCCACATGAACAGATTTACAAAAATTGGTCGTTTCTAGTTCATTATTGCTAAATTCTCTCTGTGCTCACTATCACCCATGTAATTATTTTCATTCACATGCTCTATTTTTCATCCTTTCCTAACCCAACTCTTTTGTGAGTTTGCAGATATGTTTTTCTGATGGCCTATCTATTTTGAGGTTTCATTCCTCCTAATATACTAAGAAAGACACATTGGACAGTCCCAGAACTAATTGGTGAAAGTTTATAGCAGATGTCAGCATTTCGTGAACCTTGATTTATCTTGAAAACACAACTGGCCTAGTTAGTGCTTGGAATCCTTGGATGGGAGATTACTAGGAATTCCTAGAGCTTTTACGTTAAGATGGGAAGTTTAAAAAAAAACATTGTGGCAAAAGCAATGGAAACCATACTGTTTTTATACTGTTGCCAAAAAGAATGAATAGACATATCCATGGTATCACCAGGATCTAAGTGTGATTTAAGAGATATTTCTAACTAGATAAGGTGAGAAGATTAGCTTCTCTGGTTTAAGGATCACTTTGAGTTCCAATAGATTAGTTCTCATATAAACTGATGGCAGAGCCTTGGTGATATGATCACACTTGCTATGGCTGTTTGGTCATTAAGAGCGGTAACTGGAGCCATTCACAGCTTTGTGCAAAACACTCTATGGCTTATTGTGTCATATACACCTATTCTATTCTTCTGTCCTTCTCTATCCAGAAGCAACCAATAATTTGGATGGATTATGCATCCAGAGCAAATGAAAAGCTTTGCAGTATGTTTAAGGAATGTTCCTTTAATGAATTCCTTCTTATGACCCCATATGCTTCTCAAGTCCACCTATAGTAAAGGGAGAACTCTGAACTGACCATGACAGGCAACATTCAGGGTTTTTTTTGGGTGGGTGAGGAAACCTGAGAAATGGTATTAGGAGCAAGATTCATCCTTAGTTTGGATGATTTCACCCCATAAAGAGAATGTGAACTGAAGCATCACAATATTGTGAAAACAATCTTCTTATATCTTTGTTGTTTCTATATATCTCCCTGTGGGAGGAAAAGCCAATTTAAACATATGGAAGAATACTTTTTTAAAAAAAAAATCAAACAATTAGATAAGTGTCAGGCTCAATGCTGTTTGTTTTAGGAGGATGTTCAAAGTCCATATAAGTAGCTTCCAGCAAAATCTCTCCAACTAGAATTTATCCCACCTACACATTACAAAGCTGTGTTGCATGGCTCCTGCTAAAATAGAATGGCTCATAAAATTTCCCTTTACCCCCAAACATCTGGAACATGCTTGGCCTCCTAAATAAACATGAGAAAAACTTGGTTGAAGATGATGAAGCATCAAATAGTTCTGGAGCTATATAGCTTGCCATAGGCTCCTGTCTTGCTGAAGTTCTGAAAGGATGTGGAGATGTGCTAAAATTTGACCATAATCTGTAATTGGAATCTGACTATTAAACTGCCAGAGCTGAAAGGGAAAGGCAGTAGATCTGCATCCAGCCATGTTGTGTTCTTGTTGTTGCATTTTAGAGAAAGCAAGATAGGGGTGCAGAATTCCAGCTTACCAGTTCCCAAGGCTGTTGGTTCTTTCTTGCAGTTTGATGCTCTGAAGTCTAAAATCTTTGGATTTAACTCCCTTTCACTAAGCTCTTGATGGGAGAAAGGAAGAGAGAGCATCATACCCACTTTCACTGTTATATTTCCATTTTCCCCATCTTTTTTCACTTGCACAATACGGAAAACAGGCTTACTTGCTTGCTAGAAAATATTTTGAGTTATATCCTGAGAAATCTGGTACAGTGTAAATGTTCATTTGCTGCTTAAAAAATGATTTAGCAATAGTTAAAAAAAAACTACTTAGGCATTTTAAAAGTTATTTTTCGCAGTGTCTTGGCTACTTGGGACTATCACTATAGCTGGAGCTATGGTGGATAATATGATTTAATTTAATTTGCATCAGAGATAGCTAAAATATGATTTCTAAGCTCATTTTATCCTTCTGAGGAAAGAGCAGATACTTCTGAAAGCTTATGGCCCTATTATAAAATGACACATAACATTCTGGCTGCAATAGGTGAACAGACCTGATCTGAATTTCATACTTGCATGGATATTTGGGAGCAAAATCCCTTAAGAAGGGGGAATACAAATGCAGTAGCAGGATGCAGAAAACCTAGTTAGTACTCTTGATTATTCATGTTTTGTCTCTTTTTTTCTCAGTGGGATGTTTGCAAACTTCTAATGCAAGGGAACTGAAAGATCACATTCCAAAATTAAAACAAAAAAAAACCCAGAAGGCTCAGAAACTGCCGGAGAGTAAGTTGAGACATCAGGTTTTCAACACTGGACACAACAAGAAGGGAACCAAACAGGAATGCTGTTACAGACTGTGGCAGATTATAGAATAGTGCCTGGCTTGATGATAAAGAGGTGGATCTGTTCCTGTTCTTTCCTTTCATAGCCTGAATGATCACAGCAGTCCAACTAATTCAGTCCCTGCCTTGTCCCTACTACTTCCTCTCCCGCCTTCATTTGGTGAGGGTCCCACAATGGGAGTGTCAGAGAAGACTGAGCTGACTGAATCTGGATCTGACAATTTTCTCTCTACCTTCTGGACTCCTTTGGGTGCATGTTTGGGGGAGTTGGTGGGTTTGCATTTGCCATTCTGGCCTTGGGCTCTGCTTGGCACTGTGTTCCGATTTAATCCTTCCTTGTCCCCAGTCACTTCAGCATTGTGATTTGGAGTGGTGCTGAGCACTGAAGAGTTGATACTGTCCTCTTGTTGGTTAGCCTGCTTTTCATTGCTGCGGCACCAGCAACGGCATGGAGTCAGATAAAGATAGATGAGCACAAGAATGACACTCAGGATACAGCCCACTAGTGTGGTGTAGGCTGTGTTGAACATGTCCGGGACTCCATGAAGGGTATAGTTATGGACTGTGACTTGTACATAAAAGGTCTCATTGAACACCTGGCTTACTGCATAACAGGTATACAGACCCATATCCTCTATGCTGATATTACTTATCAGAAGGCTTCCATTTGGCAGCAGAGTAATGGTGTTATTATCATCTTCCTGTTGAACATGCTCATATCGGGGTGTCACCCATTCCTTAACTGTTACTCCTCGTTGCCTGGTATCACAATTGATGGTTACCTTGTCCCCACGGTGGAACTCTAGGACTTGCTCCTTGAAGGCACTGCAATTCATGCCCTCTGGATCATACAGGCTGGAAATTGTGATGTTTTTATTCTTGGTCTGATCCAAGCATTGGAGCTCTTCCTCAAAGTCCACAGCTGAGCTTAGTTGCCGTTTCTGCCAGTGGGTGAAGAGATTGTAAAGCTCACATTGGCAGCTGAGAGGGTTGCCGTGAACATAGAGGCCGTTCTTCATCCAGGCTGGGAGCCCATTGACCTCCTTCACCTGCAGGTTCTTGATCTTGTTGGAAGAAAGGTCCAGCAGTGCCAATTCGGGAAGTTTGGCCTCTCCATTTTTTACCAGCTCCAGGGGGAAGCGGGAGATCTCATTATGGCTAAGGTACAGTTTCTGGAGGCTGGCCATATCATCAAAAGCTGAGCGGTCAATCTTGGAGATCTTGTTGCTAAATAGGAGGAGCACCTCCAGCTCAGTCAGTTTACTGAAGATGTTCTCTCCTAGTGAATCAATGGCGTTGGAGGAGAGGTCCAAGTATTTCAGGTGTGGGACGTTGCTGAAGGCCTCGGTGGAGATGAAGTGAAGGCCATTGTGGCTGAGGAACAAGGAATGGAGGTGAGAGAGCTGGAAAGGAGTCCACTCCGCTCGCAGGTGGGTCAGCTGATTGTGGCTAAAGTCCAGGACAACAGCGTAATGAGGAAGGTGATGAGGGAAGACTTTCAGGTCCGCTTTGGAGCAGCTGATGATGTTGCTGGCACAGACACAGTTCTTGGGGCAATTCAGCGCCAACCCCCCTTGCCGGCCAGTGCCCAAACTCAATAGCACCAGCAGCCAAGATGCTTTAAAGCTCAGAGCAAGACATCGACGGGACACCGGAGCATCCTGAAACCACATTGTAAGACTCAGCGAGGAAGAGTCAGGGTCCCGTTTCTGGAGAAGAGAAGATGGAGGGGCAGGAACCATGGAGGCAGCAGTGAGGGCACTGGGACAGGGTCCTGCCGGCGCTGGCAAAGTCCGGCGTTTGCCAGAACACTAAGCGGAGGGCGGGAACGAGGCCGAGGGGGCAGAGGACCCGCTGTGCTCATCCCCCGAGCAGGACCGGCAGGATCCACCTGCTGCCAAGCGCGATCCGGAGGACGGCGAAGAGCAAGCCCTCGTCGCCCGCTTCCTCCAGCCCCGCTGGGGAAAAGAAGCCTCTCATGGACAAGTCAAGGCCGGCTCCCGCTTGGATGTCCGCTCCTCCTCCCCTCCTCAGCCTGTGGTCGGCCAAGCCCTGCAGCCTGCCACGCGGTGTTGCATTGCACCAAGAGTCCCCCAAGCGGCAGCGCCAACCGCTCGCTCACTCACCGGCGAACGAAGCTCCTCTCCCTCCGCCGCTCAGCCCATCCCGGCGGGTCGGTTCCCGCAGCGTTGGCTTCTCATGCGGCCTCCTGCCGTCGCAGAAAGGAAGAAGCGGGCCGGGCTGCCGAGGAAGCCGAAGAGGGCAGCCCCTGATTCTGAAGGAGGAGTCCGGAGCCGCTGCCAGTTCTCTCCGGCGGGGTCGGGAGCGGGAGGTTGCCGAGAGGTGTCCCGCGCGACCAGAGGGCAGGCGAGGCTTCGGGAGGGATGGCTGGTGGGCGAAGAGGCTCGGCAGTGCCGAACAGGCTTCCGGTGGTGCGGAGCGGTCAGGAGAGCGAAGACACGGCGGGAGCCGGAAAGGTTAATCCAGGCTGGTTGACTGGAAGCAGGAAAGGCGGGCAGGAGGGCTGCGCGCGCATGTGCGCGCGTCCTGGGAGTGCGATGGTCTTGCACACTAGCTCCTAGCACGCTCACGCTCACACCCACCCACAGCCTGTCAAGGGAGGAGGAGGCTGGCCGAAGCAGTCCTAGAGAGCGAGCCCCAACACACACACACACACTCACTCACTCACACTCTCTCACACACTCGTAGACGCACCGCCGGCGCTTTGGCAACCTGGAAGCTACTCCAAACTGCAGCCCAGGGAGTCCGGTCCTAAAGGGAGGCTTCCCGGTGGAATGGGAGAGGCTGCCGAAACGGCGCCCTGGCTGCGTTGTTGGACCCTCCCTTCTCCTCCCCGCTAGAAGCCGGCAAGTGGCGCCAAGTCCCGACCTCCGATCTGAAGGCTGTTCTCGTCAGGGCCAAAGGAGGGGAGCGTGTCCGCGGGCGGTCTTCGGCTGGCTCGCTCTGCGAGAAAGAGCCTCCTTCGGGGGAAAAAAGAGCCTGGCTGCATTCGCGCCAATTGTCTCTTGTTATTGTTTTGATAAAAAGTGATATTGGTGAGGCGGGGGCTTAAGGGCGGGACGGGCGAGCGGGCCGACCAGTCAACAGTCGCTGCCTCCGAGAACGGTCGGGTTTCGTAGGGTTCGATGGGCGCCCTCGAGCCAATGAAGGGAGGCAAGTCTTTAACTAGTCCTTTCCCGGACTCCCTGCGATCGGCTGATCTCGCTGCGTGACTGGGGAGGGGAAATAGAAAGTCCTTGGTGCTTTTGAAGCAGTTCCTTTTTTTTTTTTGCTTTAATTTATATGCCGCCCTTCTCCGGAGACTCAGGGCGGCTTACAATGCGTTAAGCAATAGCCTTCATACTTTTGTATATTTATATAAAGTCAGCTTATTGCCCCCACAATCTGGGTCCTCATTTTACCTACCTTTGAAAGGATGGAAGGCTGAGTCAACCTTGAACCTGATGAGATTTGAATTTGCAGTAATTGCAAGCAGAAGATGTTAATAACAGTGCTTTAGTCCACTGTACTATAGGCTCTTCTTCCTTCATGTGGGGCTCTTACTCAGGAAAAACTCCGGGTAGGAAACTTGGGGGGGGGGGGGAAGGAATCGAGAAAAATGAAAGGATGGATCTAGAAGGTCGGACAGATGGCGCTATTCAAAAGATGCTTGGGATCGGTTTCCAGAGGCATTTGTTTGACCTCTAATAACGTTAATTCTAACTTTTGCTCCACTTCAGGAGTATGAAGCCAATTAAAGTCTTGCCTTTTTAGCCGTGAGTTGAAAAAGGGATGATTGCATAATACATAGACTTAATGCAAAATACAAAGACTTAAAAACGTTTGCTAACCGGTAGGGAAGGTAAGTAAATCCTACCTCTGAAATGCAGTCAAGTCTTCTGCCCAGATAATGATACTATAGCAATAGCACTTAGACTTATATACCACTTCACAGTGCTTTTCAGCCCTCTCTAAGCGGTTTACAGAATCAGCATATGGCCCCCAACAATCTGGGTCCTCATTTTACTGACCTCATTTTACCAACCTCGGAAGGATGGAAAGCTGAGTCAACCTTGAGCCAATGAGAATGGAACTGCTGAACTGCAGTCAGCCTGCAGTCAGCAGAAATAGCCTGCAGTACTGCATTCTAACCACTGTGCCACCAACTATAACGATAATGTGCTTTATATTGCCACAGTGATGGTTAATAATGATAGGTGTTATAAATCACTAGTGATGAAATCATGTTGTCTGCCTCGGCAAATACACCCATCTGATGGAGGATGCTTCATATCTAGTGCACCTCCAATAGCAAAATACTACGAAGCAGAGACTCAGGTGGCTTCCCTGCTGATCTTTTCTCTTGGTGACTTTTATCATCACGCAGCCATCCTGGAAAGTGGGTAAAAAGTTTCTCATTACTGTTCTGTCAGCACAATGCTGGTTAGGTGACTCTAGAAAATGTTATAAGTCACTAGTGGGGATCCAGATTTAGAGTTGTTCTGGCAAGTTCAAATAGGGAAATATGACCCCCATGTTCTGATGCTATACTGTTTTAAACGCCAAACTTAGCATCCTGAAATGAGATGTAATCCAACTGAAAGGCAAATTATATAGCTGATGTGGCATACAGATAATATGCTCCCACCTACATATCCAATCAGATTTTCAGCCACTGTATTTTGAAGTAATTGAGGTTCTGCTGTTTCCATTCCTACATTTCGTTTAGGGATCTTATTTGATTTAGCTGAAGAATCTGCATTTTGGGAATTGTAATCCCAGGTCTTCTGGAGGGGATTGAGGAAAGCTGGACCAGTGTCATATAGGTTTTCTCCAGTTCAGGTTCAAGCTGAAGATCCTGAAAGGTATTCCTCATTATCACTAGTCTTTTGCCTTTCAGGAGCGAGGCAGGGTTCAAAAGCAGTTTGCTTTTTAGGGAGGAATAAAACTCTGTGAAACAAGATTATTGATCAACTACTTCTAGGTCAATATTCATCAACTTGGTTCCCTTCAGATATATTTGGATTTTGATTCCCACAATTCTGAGTCAACACAGGGGAAATGGGTTATGAAAAAGGCTGTTTTAGAACAGGTTTCTCAGTCAAACAGAGCTTTTTGGCTTTACTATGTTGGGAAAAAGATTTGCATGCGGATTAGATACAGAGAAGGATTGAGGATATACAGTATTTCACAAATGATGCTAAAACTGGATTTTCCATTTTTAATTCACCTGTAAGTTTGCATTGGTGAGATGAAGGCTTACCTCCAACCCCATTCAAGGTTTATCTGAGGTGGCTCATAGCCATTAATTGGTCTCTTGGGCTTTCCAATCCTATTTGTTGCATCAATATTTCCAACAGTCAGATCCTTGGAACAGGAAGCAGATTTTTTTGCTTATGCTCTCTAGTCATGTGAATAACACTGTATTAGCGAACAGTCTGCTTGCTATCACTAACCATCCATATCACAAGTGCACAAATTAAGTCCCAGGGCCATAGGCTGCCCTTGGATGCAGTCCCCAGAGTTTTTTAAATGTTGTCACTACCTTGTAATTTATTGGATTCAACCTGTTAATTAATGTGCTTATTTTATTATTCGATGGAAAATTATCATCCACTTTTGGTATATAGTGGAGTCAATTAAGGATTTAGATATAGGTATAGCTCATTCTAATGGACACTGTCCATGAACTAAAATCTAACCATTTATAGAGATAGATTGCAAATGCTTATCCTATTTTACTAAGTTCTAGTTCATATGCAGAGTCATCTTGTTGTGGTTAAATCATAACGTAAGTGTTCATTCAAGTCTTCACTAAGCAAGGTTAATGGTCTTGGGCCTCATACTTCCTAGGGCATAAATTCCATTTTATTGATTCTCTAGGCAGTGCCACACAATTCCAATTTTCATCTCTCCAAAACCTGCAAATCATACACAGTATTATAGTATCACCCTACAAGAGTCCATACCATGTTGCTGAATTATTTTCCTGAACAGACTGGCTGTCCTTCCAGCTGGCCAACAGGAGAATATCAAATTTGGTGCCCCAGCTAACCCCTCACTCACTCCTGCACCATTTTTTTTAATTTGATTTATATGCCGCCCTTCTCCGGAGACTCAGGGCGGCTTACAATGCGTTAAGCAATAGCCTTCATTCTTTTGTATATTTTATACAAAGTCAGCTTATTGCCCCCACAAACTGGGTCCTCATTTCACCTACCTTAGAAAGGATGGAAGGCTGAGTCAACCTTGAGCCTTGGAGAGATTCGAACCAGCAGAAATTGCAGGCAGCTGTGTTAATAACAGGGTGCATTAAACCACTGTACTATCAAGGCTCAACCATTGATGTTGCATCATTCTGTTTATTTTGTATCAAAGGAAAAAAGCAACAAAAACAAATCTGGCCACTGTGTAGAGGAGCAGCAAAGTCGGGGTGTGGGGCAAGGCACAATGACACTTTGACTTTCAGGAAATGAACCCTGAGGAAATGGGAAGCAGAAAGAGAAGTTTCTTCCAATAGAAAATGATCCATTCTGCAGTTGAACTTGAAGTTAATCAACTCAGATTGCAAAAAAAACATTGCAAGCATCCTGGTATTGTATGGCAGAATACAGCTTAAATTTACATGCGCACAACTGGAAGGACGTCAGATATATTGGATAGAAGGAAGCTTTGCATTCTGCCCAATGTTTCTCATATTTAATTTATCATTTGCTCTGACCATGTCCAACCCTTTCTTTTTCAAGATCTATTTTGTGTATCTTTTTATTTGTCAAAAATATAATTGTGATGGAGATTTACCTGCGGTGTGTAGCTTGCTTGAAGTTTCATCATCTTCCTACCAAAAAAATCCATATAAAGCATACCGTTAAAATTCTAGCTATAGAATTCCAGTGAGAAATAAGGAGGAGGCATCAGCATGGCTGAGAGAATCCCAGAGACTGTAAAAGTAAAAGCATGTCTTAGGTTTTCCTGCTTCCAGTTTTTTCCTTCCAAGCCTTTTAGAAAGCTCATCTCATTGCCATTTTTACTACAGTGTTTGATGTCATGATCATGACTAATGCATAATAAATATAACAATTCCTCCTGGGACATTCTGCTGAGGATTTACAATTTCCTCAATGAGCATTGTAAAACTAACTATTGCTTTAGTGTCTGTAGAAATTCTTTTTTTAAACAGGAGAATGAATCAAGCTTCTTTGTGATCCTTTCTCCAAATTTCTAAGTACAATTTGATCTAAGGTTTTCTCTGGGGAAATTGAACAATATACAAAGTTAAGAACTGTCGTCTTCCGGGTTCTTAAAATATAGATGTTAAATTGTTATTTTAGTATTCTAGATGGTGATTATTTTAATCGCCCAGTGATCTCCAAAGTATTATTTAGCAAGGAGGCAAAGACTGTTCTCTCTACAAAATCCTTTAATCTCTGCTTTCCTTGCAGATGTTCACAGTCAAATGTCTGAAAAATCAAAATCTCCTGTACAGTTAAATGTATGGCAGATGTGGGGATGGGGAGCTCTGCTGAACAAGTGCTAGATTAACCTACTGGATGGATAACTCTGTGTGTGTTTGCAAGTGCTATTTACTGACACTGCTGTGCATGAAACATAAAGGCATCCTTAAATTGACCTCAACTCCTGATGGAGACCATGAAATATTCTTAAGTGAAACAAATACCCAGTGGAAGGATGGTTGAAGAGGCTACATTACAGTGGAGGGCTGAAAATTGAGTCCCATTAAGAATAACGGGTAAATCCTGCCCTATGCAAGCTTGCTATCTTTTGAGAATTATAATTGGAAAGCCCAAAATGTTTCTCGGAAACTCTGTGTTCATCATCAGTTGTGCAAATGGAAGAAATGAGTTCTGCCAGATGAATCCCACATTCACTTTGACATAAACTTCACTGGACTTTTTGCTCTGATGTCCAGCATTCCCTAAAACAAAATCTTAATCAGGTACTGTCCTATGAAAGAAGGAAACAGTTTGTTTGAAATCAGTGAAACAACCCAATTTTGGCATATGCTTAACTGTCCATAATAGAAATTATTGATGAAATTGTTTTATTTTTATTCGATTGTGTGCTGATTCACCTAAATGCCTATTACATTTGCACTGTCTGTGGCATTCTTCAGGACATTCTTTTGCCCACATGTATATTTAACATATACATTGGAGATTGACAACTGGATGTTTAAATGTTGTTGCTGTTGAAGGTTACCAATGAGTTACAAAATGTAATGTGACAGAAAGGATAATTTATTAAATATATTCCTTGTATTAAACCAGTTTAACTGAAGAGTCATTTAATGTATTGTTAATTTAAATGGATTTAAATTTAATTTTTTGTATGCTACTTCCATATACTTGTGAATATGTTCACAAGTACCTAATTTCAAGATTGAATGTAGCTGTCACTCCCAAAACCCTGTTATCTTTAGTATACTGGTTTAGGTTTTAAGCACATTTGGCATGAGGTGTAACCATTTTGCTGATATAGCTGTTATTTTCTTCTAATACAGATGAGATGTTGACATGCTAAACTAAAGACTGGAATGGACAAGCAATAAAAAAAAAAAACTCCATCCACATAAGATGAAGGTGCTGTTGATGGATTATTTAATTTGGCCAAGAAGACAATAGTCTGCCTGTATTAAATGAAGCTGTATGTCTGCTATGATATGTTTTATCCAATTTTCTTTTTAGCTGTTGATGTTTTTCTAAGCCACTTTGAAAGCCACAGATTAAAAATTAACGAGGTACTATTAAATAAAAACAAGATAATGTTACAGGCAGAAAATTGAACCATAATCTTAATGGGGCACTGTAGAACAACAGATAAATATAATCCTTTGGGAAATGTCCAAAGAAAAGTCTTGGCAAAAGCACAGCCTGGAGGTGGTACAGGAGAAAAGGTGATGTTTCCGGAATAAGTAACAAAGAAAAGAGGAAAGCATTATGCACATCTGAAATATGAATTTAGAAATCCTGAGGCAGCTTGGGCTGGCTCTCAAAACAAGTGCCATCTACAGGTAGTCCTCAATTTACAACAGTTTATTTAGTGACTGTTCAAAGTTACAATGGCACTGAAAAATGTGACTTATGACTGTTTTTCAAACTTACGACCTTTGCACTCTCCCCATGATCATGTGATCAAAATTCAGATGCATGGCAACTAGTTCATATTTATGACCATTGCTGTGTCCCGGGGTCACGTGACACTGTTTTGTGACCTTCTGACAAGCAAAGTCAATGGGGAAGCCAGATTCACTTAACAACCATGTTACTAACTTAATTGCAGTGATTCACTTAACAGCTGTGGCAAGAAAGGTTGTAAAATGGGCAAAACTCACTTAACAAATGTTTCACTTAACAACATAATTTTTGGTCTCAGTTGTGGTTGTAAATTGAGGATTACCTATATTTATTTCAAGAAATCATAGGTAGGAAATTCAGATGCTTTCTCACAATAATTATAATCTTATGACTGCATGTTAAACACATTGTCCCTGTTAAAATAGCATGTTAAGAGGATTCTAATTAGCTTTTCCCCTGAAGTTCCAGTCATCTTTGTGCACAGAGATTTTTTTTTTAAATATGAGGAATATCCAAGCACAAAATTTGCATTTTGAAATGAACAGCACCAGGAAAACTCAAATTGCTTAATTGATTGCATAGACTGGGTATCAAATCAAGGACATTTTTTTTAAATAAAGTGACAGGGATGAGATTTTTAAAAGTTTTCTTGCAATCAGAAGAACAAAGTTTAACATTACTCAGTTTTTAATGCTATAATGGTCCCAGCAACGTCGTATTGACCAAGGGAGTGAGCAGTGTTCATAACTAAATCATGCTAGTTGGCTATGAGCTTTCACAACAGAAGTACTATTTCTCTGACCAAAAGTATATAAAATTAACACGCAACTATGAATGACCCATGCAAACTAAGATGCTGGGAGAAAAAGAAAAGGCAGCAATTTGAAGAAATTGAAGAGAATAAAGAGCAAAGCTGCTAATTTGGATTCATGTGAATTTTTTCATTAGCTGCCAATCTGCTGAAGGATTGATTTCTTTAAGTGCTTTTGCTGCTAAGTACCAGTAGTGTTTTTCTTTCACCGCTTTGCTCTTCCCTCTCTCTTTCTGCTTCCCTTATATGTAACTTTTATCCTTGACTCTTTCCCCTATTTTTAGCTGTAAATATGACATTAGAAGGAGGATAATATTAGGCTAGCTTTCTCCAACTTGATGTCTTCCAGATACACTGAGCTAGAACAGCCAACCTACTGGTGAGAATGGGAGTTAGACTCCAACATATGTAAAGGCAGATATATTTGACAAATAAGCAGCAGTGAAAATTGAAATGAATATTTTGAAATAAACCTTTAGCTGAAAAGCTAAGAATAATTGCTGGTGGGCTGAGTCATATATCTCTCACCTTTCCACACTGATGGGCTCTTCACTAACTTTTGCATTGACGGAAATCTATGCCAAGCATGAAATATATTGTCTCCATTGTCAATCCCTTTCTTGTCTCTCTTGTGTCTGTTGCAAGCCATTGCCAGTTTCCTGAATTTCTAGCAAAGTAATGGATGGCAAAGCCTAATAAATGTTATAGTCTTCAGGTTGTCCATGCATTGTGTTAAAACAAGGAGAAGGGCTGGAAACTTACTTATCAAAAAGGGATTTTAAGCGAGTTTCACACATGAGCTGAAGGTAAGTTGAAGATCATGTCATAAGGACTTGACAGAAAAAAATATGTTTCCAGTGCATGTTGATATCTTGTTCAGTCACATAGAATTCCCAGTATCTCAAGTCAAGATTCCTTTTCCCCTTAAAGCTTGAGGAGATATTGGTTGAACAAATGTTTTGACTGTTGTTGTTGCCACTGTTGACTACTGTTTTTAATGTCACATTAGCCAGCCAGAGTCCCCAGCCAGCATAAATAAAAGTGAATAACAAATTTGAATATATTTTTCTTTTTTTCTATGGAATCCAGTCAATGACATGAGACCTACAAGTCCTTATGGAGTTCTTGAGTTTGAGAAAACTCACAAGAATCTCAGCAAAATGTAATTTGTGTATACAGTGTTTCAAATGGATTTAGTCAAAGCTGTTGGGCAGGATGTCCTTTTAAGGCAGGGGGCACATGAAACCTCCCATTGCCCTCAATAAGCCCCAAATTATGGTTTTTTTCCCCAGAGGTGAACCCAACAAAGTTATATTTATTAGTATGCATGGAATGTAGGGAGATGATAATGATTTTTGGATTTGAGAAATGCTTTTGTTTAAAAACTTCCTGTGTGGAGAAGTTTTGATCTAATCTCTGAAGTCTCATAATCTTTTCTCTCCTGCAAATACTTTCCTCTTTCTGTTATTTGGTCATCAGTTCTTGTCCCAGATTTCTTCGGATTCCTTTTGTATTCCTTCTCCTTATAGTTGTTTTCATCTTTTCAAAGAATTTCTTCTTTTCTTTTTCATCATTCCCTCTCTCTCCTCCAACTGGATTGTGTCTCTCCCCCCCACCATCCAATGCATTTTGCGTGCCTTCACCATTTTGATTTCTTTTCCTTTCATTCGGATCTTTAATTTTCTGGGCATGCTTATTTCTATTTCCCTTTTCTTTTTATCTAAATTCTGCCATTCTTTCTCATTCTCCCACCTCTCCTCTCTCAAGGTCATCCTTTCTACAATTCAATGTGTCATCCCCCCCCTTAAAGCTTGCCTGAATGAGACAATTTGCTTCCAGTGAAGCAGAACAAACTGAGATGAAAGAAGCCATTCATCTATATTGACTAAATTCACCTCTGAGAATGACTGTAGTGTATGGGAGTATCATTTCGGAAGCTTAGGACTGGTATGTCATATAAGCTTCAAAGCCTGAGTTCTTTATTATCTTCTTCACCAGTTTTGGGGTTCAATTCCAGTTCCTTAGATCTTTTTTTGCTTTCTAAACTGTTTGGGTACTGAAGAAATCTCTTGGGATTCTAACTTGGTGTGTTGTTCATTCTGTTATATTATCAGCAGGCTTCTGATTAGAGCACAAAATAAACAACAGGGAGATAATTATCTCCCTGATCACCACTCAGCTGGAGAAAGAAAATCTGCCACAGAGCTGGGATACTTTGTGGAGTGCTGTGCATCTCTAAAGATGGGTGCACTGTCATTTTTGACATGCTAAAGCAATTTCTGTAACCTAGTTCTCTCCAACTATGTTGGACCACAGTTTCTATAAGCTTCAGTTAACAAGCCCACTCCCAGGTTGTAAATTATGAGAGTTATAAATCAAGGCATCTAGAGGAACCAGTTTATGCAGAAGGCTGTGCTAAAGTCTCAAGGACAGAGTAGAGATGTGGTTTTGATTGCTGCTGCTGTACTTGCCCCCTAGTCAGTCTCTTCATACTCTGCATCCTTATACAGAAGAGGCATCTTTTTACAGGCATGGTGGGTAAATAGGTGGAAACGATGTGCCTCTTGCCTGTCATTTTAGAAAACATTTCCACATGCATAATTTTCAGCATTCTAACAAGTTGCTTTCCTTTTGGCTCTACAGATGTTTTAATTACGTAGTGTCTGGAATGTGTGAAGCCAAGGGATTATATAACCACATGTTGCATTTTGGAAATATATGTCTGCATGAAGCATTCAAGAAATAAAAGAAAAAGATGCCTAAAGAAAGGCAGACATAACTGTTTAAATCAGTCTTCTCCCCCAACCTGGTAAACTACTCTGTTACTAGTTTCCATAAATGTGTTGAAAGCATCTCTCACAGAGCACATTCTGTATACCCCTTATCCTTCTGATGACTTTTTCTTTTAGAAATCTGTTTTTCCCCCTGGCTATCAATTATGTTGGTTGGGTATTAGGCTGACGTTTTTGTTTGAAGGGCTACTGCCTTTGAAGATCATCATATGGAGGTGCAGGGCACTGGCAGTGGGCAGAGGTAGAGCTAAAGTAGTTTGGAGCAAGCAATGGGTAAGAACAGAACCAAAAGCATGAGGAGTTACCCAGATTTTGATTTGGTTTGTGGCAATCTTTTTTCTTCTTTTGTGGATCTTCCAATTTCACTCTCCTATTCTATTCTATTCTATTCTATTCTATTCTATTCTATTCTATTCTATTCTATTCTATTCTATTCTATTCTATTCTATTCACTCTATTCTACTCTATTCTCATTCCATTCCATTCCATTCCTCCACCACACCCCCTCTCTCTCATAAAGGAAGGCTGTATATGATACTAGGGATACAAATTGCTTGTTGATGTTATAATGCAACACTTCTGGGAGATATTAAGTAAGAGAAGGCTGTTTTCAGTTATGGTTCAGTTTCTGAACTCTGGAATCCATTCCTTTCTGACAAGAAAATAACTGTCCTGTATAGTGTGTGTGGCAGTGATGAAATCCAAATTTTTTTACTATCGGTTCTGTGGGTGTGGCTTGGTGGGCGTGGTATGGCTTGGTGGCATGGCTTGGTGAGTGTGGCAGGGGAAGGATATTACAAAATCTCCATTCCCACCCCACTCCAGGGGAAGGATACTGCAAAATCCCCATTTTCTCCCCACTTCTGGGGGAAAGGATATTGCAAAATCTCCATTCCCACTCCACTCTGGGACCAGCCAGAGGTGGTATTTGCTGGTTTTCCAAACTCAAAATTTCTGCTACCAGTTCTCCAGAACCTACTGGATTTCACCCCTGGTGTGTGGTGATGTTCATTGCAATGGATGACAAACAAAAAGGAAGTACTGCTGAGCAGACAGAATTGAAAAGATAGATTATATAAAATTAATAAATTCAGAAATTCAGATGGGGAAGAAGTAAGGTAGCAGTGAAAATTTCTCCATTAATCCTTATGGTTCCCTGAGTTTCTGGTTGTGCAGTGAATGTTTAGAATATAAGGTGATCAGCATCTCTTGTGACTGTTGTGAGTGTCCAGCTCTTAAAAAATCTACTGTGAATAACTTAGTGAAAGTATAGCATTCGTCAAGGAGAATGGTTATGGCTCTCCCTACTCCAATATCTAAAAGCAAGGCTTGCATTATTTTTAAGATCCAAGAGAAAATCGGAGTCCCTTGATATATTTTATGAGTTGCTTTGAGAAGACATAGATAGATGATAAAGTAAACATGTACAAAGAAGGGAGTCTTTTACTCCCTCTGTACATTTTTCCACTTTAAATCTTACTCCAGTTGTAAGTGAGGGTTAGTATGCGTCCTAGCATTAATTTAAAACCAAATAGGTAAAATACTTGCTGCAAAAGAATGTTGTGGATCAGAGGCAGTGGTGGGTTGCCCCCGGTTCGGACCGGTTCGCAAGAACTGGTAGTAAAACCAGCGGGAGGCTCCGCCCACTTCCCCGGATGTCATCATCAGTGATCTGCACATAGTAAAGGTAAGTAGAACCCACCCCTGATCAGAGGAACTGTAGATATGGGCACTGCTGCTTCTTCATTATCAATCATATCCTGCCAAGGCAGTTTTTCATATCCAGGAAGCTCTGTTGTGTAGTTGGGTATACCAGGTTCAGTTCAATTATGAATCAAGGTATTATCCATCTGTGTTTCAACTGCCTCCATTATACAAAGTCTCTTTCATTTTTGTTCCCGCTGATTCTGCTCCTTTTTCCATTGGCAGAGTCCTGATGCTACCCAGCAGTTACAGGTAATCCTCGACTTATGACGACAATTGACCCCAAAGTATCTTATTTCACTTGTTAAGTGAATTTTGTCCCATTTTACAATCTTTCTTGCCATAGTGAATCACTGTGTTAAGTGAATGAATCTGGCTTCCCCATTGACTTTGCTTGTCAGGAGATCGCAAAAGATGATCATATGACTTGGGACACAGGTTGGCTTCGATCCTTCCAGCTGTCGGTGTGCCCAGGGCCAAAGCAGTCTTCACTCTGCGGGGCGGTGGGGCTCCCTGCTCCACTGCTGGCCTTTGGGGAAGCTTGTTGTACCTTGCCCCCGACTTTGGCTCCCCTCTTGGGCTAAGGACAGAGGCCGCTCAGACCTCTTGCTACTTGTCTTTCTGCTTCTTGATATCTCTGATTAGATTTCCTTTTTGTCTCTCAGTTGTGTCTGTGCATCTCACTTCTATCTTCTGTTTTCTATTTCTCCTTCTTATGCTGAGCAATAGCTTCTTATAATCTTACTGGCCCAGTAGAGACATCCTACAGTTGTCCTGAGGTTAGAAAAACCAGAGCTACCCTGGCTGCAGCTTTCAGAGCCAAGGAAACAGCAGGGACATAAAACATATTGAAGCATTACTGATTTATTTCTACGACTTACATGCCATTTCAACTGTATTGAATTCTAGTAGTTGTATAAGCTGTTCACCATCCCCACTTCACTCTTGAAACAGCAAGTTAGACTGCAATTTTCCCACAAAAGAAAGGAATGCCCCATATATATATCTGTGCATGTTTTAAGTTGCTGGATATAATTGCAATATTAATTTTGAAATCCATACTAATTCTAGATTTAATTGTTGAATATTGTGATTATGTAGACAAAATCAGACTACTGAGAAACATGAGGGAGGTATCTGCAAGCTTGACAAATTTTTAAGGTTTGCATAAATAAAATAAATTATGGACGGGAAAAACTATAGGGAACAATGCCAC